GTGGGAAGGAGCCAGTGAGCCGAGCTGAGCCAGTAGGGTCAATGTGGACGACCTGGACTTGGAATTCAGAAGTGAACAGGGAATAGCAGGGATTTATTTACTTGCAGATTATGCTGATGCTGCTATGTAAAATGCCACAGAAACCAAAAATACCCTTTTCTCTAGTAAGCATAACCCACAGTTCCTGTTACTCAAATACATGAAAGATAAAAGTATGTTGCCCATAGCAACAGCATTCCAAATGTCATCATCACAGGTTTAAAAATTAAAGGAAGAATATGATTGGTAGATATTACCACCTTTAAATGAAAACTTCTATTTTATTTCTTAGAGTTTATGCTTTTTTTTAACTTACATTTTACAATGGTTTATTGTATTTATATAAAATTGTTGTTTTTTAAATAAACTTTGAATAAAGAGCGCACCCATGACACAGGATTCCTAGGAGGTCCGTGGGCTTTTTACAGAGACAGCATAGCAGAAGCTGTTTGCCTTCAGGCTTTCTTGTTCAGACCTTCACATACAAACAGCCATACACGGATCGAAACAAGGTCAGTTCAGCAAGGACTGGCTGAATTTTGATTTATGTATAGGTAGGCTGACTGTGATCGACTTCTGTACAACCTGCCTGATGGGTTTTACCTAACTGGCAGTGCATTCTGACGGCAGGGAGATCTACATGGGAAGGATTCCCCTAACCACATCGAAACGTCTGGATGAGCGAAATTGGGTCTTTTTTTTTCATTCAAAACACTGGTTAAAAAAAAACAACACAAAAATAATGTATGGCCTGCCTTATACATAGAAAGAGGCGGTTTGTTGGAGAAATCGCTGCTCCAACTCGTTTACTGGGATGTAGCCATTTCAGCTTGAGCCAGTGAGATCTGTAAACAGCAGGCTGTTAACAAAAGCTAGGGAGAGGCTGAAAAACACAAAGATGAACAAAGAGCTTCATTTGCGGGATTGAAATGAGAATACAAATTTTGTGTCTTGGTGGGAAACACAGCTGAGCTCAAGGTCTACTTTTAGTCGAGTCAAGATTTGCAATGTAACTTTAGCTGCCTATATCTTTGGATCTAACGATTATTTTATATATGGCTTTTGCTGAAGAAAACCTCTTTGGCATGTTGTCATCATATGCTCATCCTGAACTGAACAGTTTCATGATAGGATTACTTTAAACACCGTGACAAAATAAAGAATGCACAACAAATACACAATGGAACTGTGAGAAAGGTGAACTTGAACTTTAATGCTTCCCCACTAAGCAGTGTCGCCCTAGGCAGATGTTTACATGGTAAATGCATCTTTTAAAAGCAGAATGACCAGAAACGGGTCACCCAATGTCCTTTCCGTGTACATTCCTGAGAGTTCCTATGCCTGGATACATTATTTTAAGTTATATGCTCTCCCAAGTCTGTGTTTAAAGGTGTAGAGTCAAGGTAAAAATGTATTCCTCTAAAAAGTATTTGTTGAGCCTCTTCTAGAATGTGACTCCATTTTAGCTAAATAGTTGTTTTGTTGCATTAATATCTCCCAAGTGGTGGATCTTGGTACAGGAAAACGTGCTTTTAAAAACCTTCAGCACCCAAAAAGATGGACACTGATTAGCAATGAATTAGGGGTGAGGTCCAGGTTTGGTTCAACAGTTAAGTGGCTAAACGTAAAGGTTCAGTCCACCAAAACTCTTCTTTTAGTGTCTGGAAGATGCTGGAAGGTGAAACCACCTGACAGTTTGTTTTATTTCTCAGTTCCTCAGTATGAACCCCCGCTGTGGCCATTATGAGGGTCTCCCACTTTCTCTACTGGATGTTTATTTATTTTACATAATGGAAAATGTGACTAGAAGAGCTGGAACACACAAAGGTGGGTGGGAACATCCAGAATACCCAGGTGGACAACAACAATGTTGGGAATTATGGCAGGGAGATCTCGCTGTTGGACTGTCCAACACATATATGAAGTCAGGGGAATGGCTCACCTATAACTAAAATATCATTTTTGGGTGAGCTGACCCTTTAAAGGTTAGAATTAAGCAGGAAATTAAGAGTTAAATGTTAATTTAGGTTTTAGTGTTCAGGTAAGGTGTTAAAGTGTCATTAAAACCAGACTATGAAAAAATCTCATTACATGCAATATAACAGAGTGTGCATACTCACAAGGTCACTAAAGCATTTGTTTAGTGTACAGTGAAATATACCTGGTTGATCCTGCCTTCAGCTGTCCCTCCCATATTTTCTGTGTCCCCACTTCAGGCTGAGATTATGTAGACCAACTGGTGTCCTCTACGAAGCATGCTAAAATTTCAGCACCCTTCTAAGCTATTCATTTCCTCCTTTTTCTTATCTGTGCAGCCCATATGACTATAGAATCACATATGTAGGCATACACACAGTGGTAAATGACAGTCCCATCCCTCCTCCTCCATGTCCACCTATTGCCAAACACTATGGGGGAGGGATATAGTACGCTGATTGATTACCTTCATTAAGAAACTCACAAAAATGCTTTGTTTTAATATAATCAGTATTAAATATATTGAATGTGATTGTGAATACCTGTAAAGTAAAAAAAGAGTCTTGGATGTAGATGCTCTCTAAACAAAGTGAAATCTAGTGTCAATTATCTTTGACTCCACCTACAATACATTCATGCACAAAAAAATACACATTAGATGATAAATAAAGATTTATAGGGAGCTAATATACAGGTTTTTTTTTATGTTTGTAATCTAATTTGAATTGCTCTTCTGAAACAATTTTTTTTTAGTCATGTGACTGGCACAACACCAATCAGAACTGTGCAGACACAAACTCATACTGTAGAGAACATACATCAGCAGAGTAACAGAAGTCCCTCCCAAAGATCTTTAGTTGCAGATGCCAGAAAAAACGGGAAATATGACGTGACCACAAAATAGTGCTGCATGAGTAAGGTACCTAGAGGTATTTTTATACAAAAACAAAAAAAATACAGTGGTATGATATACACTATATTGCCAAAAGTATTGGAACGTCTGCCTTTACATGCACAAGAACTTTAATGGCATCCCAGTCCAAGTCTGTAGGGATCAATATTTAGTTGCCCCACCCATTGCAGCTATACAGCTTCAACTCTTCTGGGAAGGCTGTCCACAAGGTTTACGAGTGTGTCTATGTGAATGTTTGACCATTCTTCCAGAAGCGCATTTGTGAGGTCAGGCACTGATGTCAGACGAGAAGGCCTGGCTCGCAGTCTCCAGTCTAATTCATCCCAAAGGTGTTCTATTGGGGTTGAGGTCAGGACTCTGTGAAGGCCAGTCAAGTTCCTCCACCACAATCTTGCTCATCCATGTCTTTATGGACCTTGCTTTGTGCACTGGTGCTCAGTCATGTTGGAACAGGAAGGGGCCATCCCCAAACAGTTCCTACAAAGCTGGGAGCATGAAATTATCCAAAATGTCTTGGTATGCCGACACCTTAAGAGTTCCCTTCACTGGAACTAAGCCCAACCCCAGAAAAACCACCCGACACTATTATCCCCCCTCCACCAAACTTTACACTTGGCACAATGCATTCAGGCAAGTACCGTTCTCCTGGCAACTGGCAAATGCAGACACGTCCATTGGATTGCCAGACAGAGAAGCGTGATTTGTCACTCCAGAGAACATGTCTCCACTGCTCTAGAGTCTAGTGAACTTGGTGATGTAAAGCTTGGATGCAGCTGCTCGGCGATGGAAACCCATTCCATCAAGCTCTCTACAGACTGTTGTTGTACTAATCTGAAGGCCACATGACGTCTGCGCACTGTGCACTTCAGCATGCGCTGTCCCCGCTCTGTCATTTTACGTGGCCTACCACTTCGTGGCTGAGTTGCTGTGGTTTCCAGTTGCTTCCACTTTGTTAAAACACCACTAACAGTTGACCATAGCAAGGAAATTTCCTGGATGGACTTATTGCACAGGTGGCAACCTATCACCATACCACACTTAAATTCACTGAGCTCCGGAGAGCGCGACCCATTCTTTCACAAATGTTTGTAGAAGCAGTCTGCATGCCTAGGTGCTTGACTTTATACACCTGAATCCAATGATTTGGAGGGGTGTCCCAATACGTTTGGTAATATATAGAGTTGTCACAGTGTGCAGGCTGCCCGTCTCTCTTCTCCTCTCCCCCACTGCAGCGTCCCCCTCCTCTCTCCCCTCTCATCCTGACACGGCCCTTTGATGCGGGCTGTCCAGGATGTGAGGTGTGACTTTCGTCACTCCCCCATCTCCTATCTCTCCCCATCCAGAGCACCCGGAGGGAGAGAGAGGCGGTCACCCACTGATAAGCCTGCACTTCCTCGACCACTTGGCCGGGAAAGGGGCGGGCAACTCACAGGGGTTTCCTGCGCTTGCACTCGTCATATGACAAAGGCCGCGCAATACCCTGCCTAATACTCTGGGGCCCGGATTACCCGATGTGCTGTGTGCTAGAACTGCTTTGCTGTGGGCCCAATGATACCCTGCCTAATACTCTGGGGCCCGGATTACCCGCTGTGCTGTTTGCTAGAACTGCTTTGCTGTGGGCCCAATGATACCCTGCCTAATACTCTGGGGCCCGGATTACCCGCTGTGCTGTGTGCTAGAACTGCTTTGCTGTGGGTCCCACAATACTCTGCCTAATACTCTGGGGCCTGGATTATCCACTCTGCTGTGTGCTGAGAAGGTTCACTCCTCCCCTGCTGTCGCCTGCTGTGAGCCTGGACATCCCTGGAAGCTGCCTGCTGCTGAGTGTCTGCAAGCCGCCTACCTCCCTGGAAGCTGCCTGCTGCTAAGTATGTGCAAGCCGCCTATCGTGAGTGTCCCTAGAAGCCATGAACTGCCCCTATTGTGTGCTCAGACTACCCTTGCTTGAACCGCCCCCTTGCGTGCCCCGTTTATAGCTACCTGGACTGCCCCCAAGTGCTTGAGCCATCGCTACCGGAATCAGGCCCCACAGCCAAAGTCCCGCTGAGTCCCCGTGAACCAGATATTGTCCCTAGAGAGCTGTGTGGGAGCTGTGCTGAGGTCAGACCCCCAGCCAACGTCCCACTGAGTCCCTGTGAACCTGATGTTGTCCCTAGAGAGCTGTGTGGGAGCTGTGCTGAGGTCAGACCCCCAGGTAAAGTCCTGCTGAGTCCCCGTGAACCTGATGTTGTCCCTAGCTAGCTGTGTGGGACTGTGCTGAGGTCAGACCCCCAGCCAAAGTCCTGCTGAGTCCACGTGAGCCTGATGTTGTCCCTAGAGAGCTGTGTGGGAGCTGTGCTGAGGTCAGACCCCCAGCCAAAGTCCATCTGAGTCAACGTGAGCCTGATGTTGTCCCTGATGAGAGCCCGCTTACCGTGAGTGTCCCTACAAGCCGCATGTTGCGGAGTGCCATGAACTGTCCTGATTGAGTGCCCTCCATAGTTCAATAAAGTTTGAGCGTTCTGTCCTGCCTACGCTTCCGTCACAAGAGTACAGTTGCAAGAAAAAGTATGTGAACCCCTTGGGATTACGTGGAGTTTTGCATGAATTGCGCATAAAATGTGCTCTGAACGTCATCTAAGTCACAACAATAGAAGAACACATTCTGCTGAACATAATACTACACAAACATTAGATGTTCCCATGGTTTAATTGCACATAATATGTAAACATTCACAGTGCAGGGAGGAAAAAGTATGTGAACCGTTGGACTTAATAACTGGTTGACCCTCCTTTGGCAGCAATAACCTCAACCAAACGTTTCCTGTAGTTGCAGATCAGACCTGCACAACGATCTGGAGTAATTTTGGGACCACTCCTCTTCACAAAACTGTTTCAGTGTAGCAATATACTTGGGATGTCTGGTGTGAATTGCTCTCTTAAGGTCATGCCACAGCATTTCAATCGGGTTGAGGTCAGGACTCTGACTGGGCCACTCCAGAAGGCGTATTCTGTGCTGTTGCAGCCATTGTTTTGTTGAATTACTTGTATGCTTCGGGTCATTGTCCTGTTGCATCACCCATCCTCTGCGGAGCTTCAGTTGGCGGACAGATGGTCATACGTTTTCCTGCAAAATGTTTTGATAAACTCTGGAATTCATTTTCCCATCAATGACAACAATCTGTCCTGGCCCTGAGGCAGCAAAGCAGCCCCAAACCATGATGCTCCCTCCGCCATGTTTTACAGTGGGGATGAGGTTTTGATGTTGATGTGCTGTGCCTTTTTTTCTCCACAAATAGTGTTGTGTGTTCTTCCCAAACAACTCAATCTTGGTTTCATCTGTCCACAGTATATTTTGCCAGTAGTGCTGTGGAACATCCAGGTGCTCTTTTGCAAACTTCAAACGTGCTGCAATATTCTTTTTGGACAGCAATGGCTTCCTCCGTGGTGTCCTCCCATGTACTCCATTCTTGTTTAATGTTTTCCTTATTGTAGATGTGTCAACAAAAATGTTAGCATGTGCCAGAGATTTCTGTAGGTCTTTAGCTGACACTCTGGGATTCTTCTTTACCTCATGCAGCATTCTGCGCTGTGCTCTTGCAGTCATTTTTACAGGACGACCACGCCTAGGGAGAGTAGCAACAGTGCTAAACTTTCTCCATTTGTAGACAGTCTGTCTTACCGTGGACACATGAACATCAAGGCTTTTGGAGATACTTTTGTAACCCTTTCCAGCTTCATGCAAGTCAACAATTCTTGATCGTAGGTCTTCTGAGAGCTCTTTTCTGCGAGGCATGGTTCACATCAGACAGTGTTTCTTGAAACCAGTAAACCCAAAACAGGTGTGTGTTTTTTTAAGGGCAGGACAGCTGTCAGCAACACATCCAATATCATCACACTGATTGGAGTCAAGGTTGGCTCACTCCTGGCTCCAATTAGCTCTGGGAGAAGTCATTAAGCTAGGGCCTCACATACTTTTTCCTCCCTGCACTGTGAATGTTTACATGTTATGTGCAATTAAACCATGGCAACATCTAATGTTTGTGTAGTATTATGTTCAGCAGACTGTGTTCTTCTATTGTTGTGACTTAGATGACGTTCAGAGCACATTTTATGCCCAATTCATGCAAAACTCCACGTAATCCCAAGGGGTTCACATACTTTTTCTTGCAACTGTATATGATTTCTGTGAATGAAGTATGGCAATTAACACTCTGTTTGTTTAGTGTGTATATATATATATATATATATATATATATATATATATACACATACACACACACACACATACACACACACACACACACAGTATATACCAACTAAATCTCCTTAGGATTTTCTCCCTCCCTGTCCGAACCAGCAAGGAGTTGCTCAGTTGCTGCTTCCTCACTAGGTTCTCCAGTGTTTCTGCCAGTAATGATTTTTACGCTTTTGAGACAATAGCAATCGCATTTTGCCGAGTGTGCAATTGGCAGGGTATCACTGTTGTGCAATGGTATCTCAGGAGAAATCCTCCCAAACGGGAATGTATAGTCAACAGAAAACAAACACAAATACAGCCCAATCACTAGTTTACCCTAAAACCTGTAGAACAAAAAAAAGCTGTAAAAAATATGAATGGAGTGCCTAAGAAATCGCATTATATGTATGCAGTCACTGCAGTGGTTAGGTAGAGCTAAGCGTTTTTGGATAGTAATATTTAGAACCCGTCAGTTTTTATTTTGCTGTCTTTGCTCTGTTTTTAAGAAACCCCCCTTTTGTCCTGGAGACACAAAAAGTAATGGAGATAATTGCTACCGGACTAGATTTCACCATTGGATGATTTGCACTGGAATAAACAGTGAGGGGAAATATTTCACTGAGAACCCTCATTCATGTGACAGCTAAGAGGAGTTTTCCTCAGTTTGGAGAGATTTCCAAAAAACTTCTTGTTGCATCCCTTGGATAGATTGTAAGCACAGATTCCTGCTGTACTGAAATGTATTGTCTCCCTTATATTGTAAAGCGCTGCGCAAACTGTTGGAGCTATATAAATCCTATATAATAATAATAAAAACAATAATAATAGGAAGCAAGAGGAATTCTATCTACCAGCATAGCAATAAAAAAAAAAAAAACAATGACAAGTGTTCTAACCCTTCCTACTCTATCCAAATGTAAAAATACTGAGAGACATTAAAAGAGACAAATTTGCAAGATCATTCATTTCAACAAATGTTCCTATAAGATTATATGAGCATTTATGAATGTTATTTACCTGTAACCCCCCACCCCCCTTTCCTTGTCTTGACATCCATAGACCCTGAGGCTGCTCCTAGGCACTGCCATCTTGGAAGAGATCTCAGCAGTCCCAGCAAGCTCAGAGCTCTCAATCATATGACACTACAGTATTCTCCTTCACTCCTCCTCCAGCAGATACATAAAAGGTTATGTAGGGAGGTGAAGGGAGGAGGAGCTGGATCAGCATGGATGGTAATTAGACACTACCAAAAGAGAAGAAGGCTATGACATGCAAGGAAGGGGGCTGCTCTAGGAACTTGACTCTTCCTGGAGTAGTCAAATTTTCTAGCAGTTCTAAGTCACATTGCAAGTTATTAAAAAATAATTTATGGAAAGGAAAACTGCTGCAAGTAAGTATTTCAAATACTCGATTTTTCTGTCCTTTTATCTTCAATTTTGTAAGCTGGTGACAGGGTCTCTTTAAGGTTAAACTTGATGAACATAGGTCTGTTATCAGCCAAACTATGTAAATAATTATCAGGCAGAGGGATTGTCTTTCTCGCCTACAGGCACTCAAGGAGGGGGTCTCTCCAGTCTGTGCATAGGATCTGATCCACACCCTTGGTAAATTCCACTTAGTGCTGAGCATGCGGGTAATTACACGTTATTTATGCCTCATACCTGAATGCCAGATAACCATCAAAATCTATCTTTTCTTGTAAAAATATTCATATAAAAAAGGTTTAAATAAATAATAATCAGACAATGGTTGTCGTTGCTTCCTGTGAGCGCCTCCTGCTTTCATCTCAGCTTTCGAGTGTAGGGGAACAATACAGTTTGGATTACAAACCAGAAAAAACTTGTTCTAAAAAATACATTTCGTGTCAGCCCAGGGACTCAATATAGTCCTCACAGCGCAGCTTTCCCCTGCATTGTTTTTTTTTTTTTTTTCCTTTTTAACCCTTGAAAAGACAGGAGAGTAAATTATGCCTTTATTGCTCTGCCTATATACCATAAATAGGGTGTTAGGACAAGATAAGCATGGTGCTTGTTTTGTTCACAGTTAAAACAATCCCATCAAAGGAAATGCAAAGGCTTTGCTTAGAAGTCCCCTTCTCCTGGAAGCACATCCAGTGGTGTCTGGATCACAAAACTGGCTTAACAGAATTGAAATGGTTCTGCAGGCAAAGCAGTTCCCATATATGTATTTCAACTTTGTATTGATTGCTTGCCTGACGTTCAAGTAAAAACGTTAAAGTATATTTAAACCTCCACCTTGTAAAGCAACCCATCCAGTTTAAAATAGAAATGTAAGGTAAACATTTGTGTATAGATATAAAAAACATGATCAAACACCTTTTTTTTAAATAAATGATCACATACCATCTGCTCTCAGCTGCATAGGGAGCTCAGAGAGCTAGGGGAGGAGGAATTGCAGAACACTGATCTTTCCAGTTAATGGATGTGCAGATGGGGGGACATGTCAGGAAAAGTCTGATCATTGGAGGAAAGCAGATTGAGTTTTCAGCACAGCTAGAGAACGGCCATACTGTGCCTCATGCCTAGTGTGGTCAGTTTTTAATAGGAAGGCAGAGGGACTGGCAGGAACACCAGGTATTTCACACAAAGGAAGCAATACAAAGACAACAGGATACTTTTGCACATACAATACATGGTACAGCAGGCACATATCAGGAATATGAAATGTTGGGTTTGGATATTCTTTAAGTCAGGGGTGTCCAGCCTTTTGACCTTTCTGGGCCACAGTGGAAGAAGATGAATTGTCTTGGGCCACACATAAAGTAAACTAACAACAAGAATAGCTGATGAACAGAAAAAGGTCGGACAGATTACAGGTTAATGACCACTGATATACAGTTGTGCTCAAAAGTTTGCACACACCGTTGGAAAATTGGTAATATACAGCATGTACCATATTTAAAGAAAACATGAGTGAGCAGGCAAAACAAATTTATTTTTTTTAATTGGGTTCATATTCTGTAACTGTAGGTCACAACAGATTGGCACAATCATAAAACAAAACATGGCAGCAAGTAAACAAATGAAATAACCCCTGTTCAAAAGTCTGTACACCCTTAGTTCTTAATACTGTGTATTGCCCCCTTTAGCATCAATGACAGCTTGCAGTCATTTGTAATAGTTGTCTATGAGGCCCTGAATTCTTGCAGGTGGTAGAGCTGCCCATTAGTCTTGGCAAAATGCCTCCAGGTCATGCAAAGTCCTTGGTCTTGCATGAACCGCTCGTTTGAGAGCTCCTCAGAGTGGCTCGATGATATTAAGGTAAGGAGACTGTGATGGTCACTCCAGAGCCTTCACCTATTTCTACTGTAACCACTGGGAGGGTCAGCTTGGCCTGTTCTTTATGGTCATTGTTGTGCTGGAATGTTCAAGAGTATCCCATGTACAATTTTGTGAAGAAGAATGCAAATTGCCTGCCAGTATTTTCAGATAACATGCTGCATTCATCTTGCCATCAACTTTCACAAGATTCCCCATGCCTTTAGAGCTCACCCCCCCCAAAACATCAGTAAGCTACCACCATGCTTCACAGTGGGGATGGTATTCTTATCACTATAGGCCTTGTTGAGCCTTCTCCAAACATAGCGCTTATGGTTGTGACCATAAACCTCAATATTGGTCTCCTCACTCCATTATTACAAGATGCCAGAAGCTATGAGGCATGTTAAGGTTTTGTCAGGCATATTGTAACTCGGCTTTTTTTTGTGGCACAGGAGCAGTAAAAGGCTTCTTTCTGACAACTCGACCATGCTGCTCATTTTGGTCAAGTATCATCGTATTGTGCTCCTTGAAACAATTATACAGGCTGCTCTGAAAACAGATGGTGTTTCTCCTAAAGGTTAGAAAAAGGAGAGAAGCGCCTCTAAGTGCAATAAGTCTTTTAATTCAAGTCTAAATGTAGAAACACTCACATGTGTGAAGTAATCATAAGCATAAAAAACCGTGGTTAACAATAGTTAACGGTGGGGTGGTAAACCCGGGTGAAGAGCCGTCATCTCTCTGCGATGTGGGGAGGTCAGCTCTCGGCTGGAACAGCGTGGTGGCTGGAGGGGGGGGAACAGTGGTGAGGCCAGCCTTCATGCACGTCCTCCCTCAAAGCCGGATGGAACGCACGCTGGAACGTTTCGGAGCATGCACTGGCCGTGGAAGGCGGAAGTGCACTCCTTTTCAAGCTGCAAAAAGGAGTGCACTTCCGCCTTCCACGGCACAGTGCATGCTCCGAAACGCGTTGCACCCTGGGATCTGACGTCATCACGGCCACGCCGCCGCTACGTTCCAGCGTGCGTTCCATCCGGCTTTGAGGGAGGACGTCATGAAGGCTGGCCTCACCACTGTTCCCCCTCCAGCCACCACGCTGTTCCAGCCGAGAGCTGACCTCCCCACATCGCAGAGAGATGACGGCTCTTCACCCGGGTTTACCACCCCACCGTTAACTATTGTTAACCACGGTTTTTATGCTTATGATTACTTCACACATGTGAGTGTTTCTACATTTAGACTTGAATTAAAAGACTTATTGCACTTAGAGGCGCTTCTCTCCTTTTTCTCATCTACAGAAGTTGCTACAGCTTATTTGGAAGCCTTGCCCTCAGTGCCACACGGAATCCTACGCTCTTCATACAGTAGCCACTAATACCACCATCACCCATACTACCATTTCCCAGGACTTTGCAGTGTTTGCGCTGTTACAACCCTTCCTCATTTTTTCTTTCTCCTAAAGGTTACCTGTGGGATTTTCATTGTATCCTGAACAATTTTTCTGGCAGTTGTGACTGTAATCCTTCTTGGTTTACCGGACCTTGGCTTGGTATTAAGAGATCACTGAATTTTCCACTTCTTAATAAGTGATTGGCATATTAAAAGCTTTGGATATCTTCTTCTATCCTTTTCCATCATTTTAAAGTTCCACTACCTTGTTACGCAAGTCTTTTTACAGTTCTTTTCTGCTCCCCATGGCTCAGTATCTAGCCTGATCAGTGTATCCACAAAAGACCTAACAAACGCATTAACTATTTAACTCATTAACTATTTTGCAATAAAAAAAACCACAGGTGTGGATAATTAACCTTTATTTGTCCCTTTACTTGTGTCACCTTATGCATCTGTACCAAGGCCAAACATTCCAAGGTATGTAAACCTTTAATTAGGGCTCTTTGGGTGAATTCTGTTATCATTATGATTTAAAGAGGAGCCAAACAACTATGTGATAATAAATGGCCAAACACTATCTCGATCCCCTCATGTGCATTGTATTGGTAATGTTCTGTCAATGTTCTTCCCCCTTTGTATGTATGAACTATTGGCATAAATACTATCCTTAAATAAAAGAACGTTTTTTTTTTTTTTTACATAAGTCATATTTTCAATATAAATGCCAAAATGTCACGATTTCTACCAGCGTATGCAAACATTTGAGCACAACTGTATCACTTTTGAGTGGGGTGACACTTTTTTGTATCTTTTTTTATTGTAAAAGTAAAAGGGGCAACATAAAACTAGTGTGATATTTGACACAGTTTTTGATAAACACATCAATATCTGGTTGGATAAATTCAGTAGCAATTCTCAAAGGATTCTCAAGGTGCTCATCAGATATTTTGGTTCTAATTTTGCCCTTCGTGTGCTTCATCCTTGCAAATACTGTAGTTGCTTACAAATATCAGTGCTGCTGAAAGCTGATGACGTGAATAAGGCGTGGTTGGGAAATTTTTCTTTGGGAAGATTAAACTTATAGAAAACTTAAAGTCCAGAGACTCTGTCAAAGTTTTCTTTGGCCACACATGTTCAGTAAGTGTAAACGCAAATTCCCTCAAAAAAAAAAAAAAAAAATCACCATTTTTAAACAAGTTTATGATTTTGTGGGCCGCATGCATAGCCAGGTTGGACACCTCCGCTTTAAGTGTTTTAAGTAACTATAGCTGTTTTACAAACAAAAAAAACACACACAATTTAGGATGCATTTGCATTCACCAAGGGGGTCCTCAGAAACATTAGATATTGTAAGCGAGTTATTAACAATGTAACTTTGATAAATACAACTTAAGAGGAGTACTGGCAGAAACCCTACCTGACAGCGACTGAACACATCCGAGAGGGTGACACGAACATTAAAATGTTTCAAGACCTTGATTGCTTGCTGTCGCGCTTTCTCTGAGCAGTCTACATTAAAACATCTCCCTTCACCAATTTGTGAGCGTAACTGTGAGATTTAGAGAAAATACAATGTATAAAACGGAGCATTTTGAAGTAAACTTGTGCATTATCCATTTTTTTTTCCCATTGCAGAAGTGAATCTGTAAGCATGCGGAACAAAAGGTACAAGTACTCTTAGCAGTTGCCATCCCCTATTGCACATACAATATTCATTTTCCTTTTGCTCCCCAATTGCTCCAATTGAGTGTGCCCGTAACTAGAAGCGGCGGCCATCTTGGTATGTGAATTCACCAATGTCTGTTTATCTTTCCACGTGGAATGTTTTATATCCATTTTAATAAAGTACTACACTATACTTCGCTTTTTGGGCTCCGTGTGGTGAGCTTTTTCCTAGGATAAGTCCTTTTGGCTAAAGACTGAGCATTTTATTTGAGTGATCAGCGATTTCTGCTACTATACCAGTAGATTTCTGGTGAGTGCATAGCAGTGGTGGAATGTTTCACTGGATCCAATAGCACCTGTTTGGAATTGAACACGTTGCTGCTGTGTCTTGTAGTGCCACTGACACAATATTTGTTTACCAAATTGACTGTAGTCTTGTCACATTGACATATACTGGATGGACTTTATCTGTTCACTGCTTTACTAAGATATACATTGATATTTCAGCACTAATGTCTCACTGAGAGATATTTATTATTCAATTTGCACTGGTGTTATATTTGATGTTTTATTAACCACTTCCAGTCCGGACACTTTTACCCCCTTCCTGTTCAGGCCAATTTTCAGCTTTCAGCACTCTCACACTTTGAATGACAATTGCGCGGTCATGCAACACTGTACCCATATGAATTATTTAGCATTTTTTGAGACAGATAAAGCTTTATTTTGGTGGAATTTATTCACCACTGGGATTTTTATTTTCTTTTGCTATGTAAATGGAAAAGTCCAAACATTTTGAAAAAAAAAGTGTTTTTCTTATAAAATTTTGCAAATACCGTAAATATTTCATCATAAATCTTGGCCAAAATTTATTCCGTTAAACTGTAGTTTATAACCAAAAATAATAATTTTTAAACTTTTTTTTTACATTTCTTTTTTTAACATACTGTCACCCTAGCAGTACAGTGTCACCATGGTGACACTGTACTACTTGTGGGGGGTGATGAAGATATTTTTTTTTTTTTGTTACACTGACTGCTTTTACACCCATAAAGGCTGTAAAAGCAATCATTTCTCCTTCTCTCTGGCTGCATTCTTGCAGCCATTGAGAACTACTGTGTGAGCTGTGATTGGCCAGAGCTTGTCACATGGTACAAGGATGTTGCGAATTGCCCTGTACCATATGATCTCGTGATCATTCACACGTAGTAAGCAATGATGAAAGAAGTGACATCTTGCTTACTTCTCTGCATGTGATCACTGATTGGCCAATTGATATTTCAGCACTAATGTCTCACTTTTTTTTGAGAAATGCATTGTGAACAGATTATAGACGTGTAAAGGTGACCTATAGTGGTTATTGATTGGTCAGTTTTTTGTTTATTAACTATATTATACCCTTAGTTATGTCATGATATTTGTATAAAATCCTTACATTACATTACTGGCCAATCAGTGATCACATGATCGGGACCTCGCAGAGAGGTCCCGTACGACGATCGGTGTTCCACTGTGTCCGGAGGACACAGCGGGCACCGAATTGCAGTGCTGCGTGCTCCCAGGGAACGCGCACAAGCAGGGGGTGGCGAGGCCGTTTACAAACGGTCACCCGACCCTGCACTGCCACCGTCCGGCCGTTTATATACAACAGCCGGACAGGAAGTGGTTAATATTGATGATTTAATATGATTTTGATGATTTAATATTTACAGTATATAAAATCTTTAGCGCTGCACTATATACATATAAGTTAGAGAATGTGAGTCTTTCTCAAGTAAGGGACACATCTCCCTCCTACTTTACTAGCTGAAATAACACAATCTAGCTCTTCAGTCTGCAAGAGCAGTCAGCAAATGTGCAGCTAGTGCTAGGCTTTCTCATTAGGCAGCCAAGCATGAACTGTACACACTTGAATTCATAAGCACCTGTTTATTTGTAATGTAAGGATTTTATACAAATATAACATAACTAAGGGTATAATATAGTTAATAAACAAAAAACTGACCAATCAATAACCACTATAGGTCACCTTTAAACGTCTATAATCTGTTCACAATGCATTTCTCAAAAAAAAAAAGAAAACAAATTCCTAAACCTTCTCACCGTCTGGTAGGGCAGTCCACAGGTCAGGATGACTCTCCCATCTCGTCTGGCGATCTAGGACACGCAAAAAAAAAAAAGTTAATTTTAAAGGCTATACATTATCACAATAAAAAATCTATGTTTTAAACATTTTAAGGCCTTAGTTTTTACACAGAAACACGGCGACAATGTGTCACTAGGAAAAGAGGTGGGAGACGTTTTCCAAACAGGGTCATGAAGGAAAGTAAAAACTGGCTAGGTTCTAACTTGTCCCCACTCTAGCCAAAGTGGACATTTTGGATTGATACACTTTAACAGCTCACCAGTATATTGGCTCCAAAAGCCCTGTTCATATCTTGCATGAATGATAACCAGAGAACAGCTGAATTTCTAACAAGATTAGCAGATATTTTTTGAACTTATGAGACAGATATAAAAACACTTTAAATGTTATATATTTAGCAAACCAAAAGATAGCAAATAAGAGAAGTTAATTGTTAGGGTTTATGTACATTTTAATTGTTCTTCTATATAGCCAACAAAGACCCTGTAGCAGGATAGTGTTTTTTGGAACTGTGATGAAAGTGACATCACATTAATAACTAAAATGGTAATACTGTAGGTACAAGACATAAATATACACTATATGGCCAATGGTTTGTGCAAACCTATCCAAACTAATGAGTGCAGATATTTGCAGTGATGGGTGCTGTTAGTCCTACAGAACACAAAAGACCATTTTAGACAAGGCCCTTTTCTGTCCTAGCATGGCTGTGCACCTGTTCATAAAGCCAGCTCCATAAAAGCTCTGTAAAGATATGGTTTGGTGAGTTTGTTGAGGAGGAACTCAAGTGGTCTGCACAGAGCCCTAATCTCAACCCTACTGAACACGTTTTGGACAAATTTGACAATTAGCAAGGCAGAATATCTCATCCAACATCAAATTCTAACCTTACAGATGTTGTTTTAGGTAAATGAATGCAAATTCCCACAAAACACTCCAAAATTTTGTAGAAAACCTTCCAGAAGAGTGGATGCTGTCAACGCTGCAGCTTTATATTTGGAATGGGATATCTAACAAGCTCACACAGGTAACATGTAATGATCAGCTATCTACAAACCTTTGACCACATAGTGTTCTAACAAAAATATCAGTTATAATCAACGGACAAAAAAAAAAAGGAACTGATCCTCCAAATAAATCAGAGCTGTGTATGTACAATTCAACATACATTCAATAGAATGTGAGCAGGCAGGTATTATTCAGAAGAGATATACAGTTGCAAGAAAAAGTATGTGAACCCCTTGGGATTACGTGGAGTTTTGCATTAATTGGGCATAAAATGTGCTCTGAACATCATCTAAGTCACAACAATAGAAGAACACAGTCTGCTGAACATAATAGTACACAAACATTAGATGTTGCCATGGTTTAATTGCACATAACATGTAAACATTCACAGTGCAAGGAGGAAAAAGTATGTGAGGCCCTAGCTTAATGACTTCTCCCAGAGCTAATTGGAGCCAGGAGTGAGCCAACCTTGACTCCAATCAGTGTGATGAGATTGGATGTGTTGCTGACAGCTGTCCTGCCCTTAAAAAACACACACCTGTTTTGGGTTTACTGGTTTCAAGAAGCACTGTCTGATGTGAACCATGCCTCGCAGAAAAGAGCTCTCAGAAGACCTACGATCAAGAATTGTTGACTTGCATGAAGCTGGAAAAGGGTTACAAAAGTATCTCCAAAAGCCTTGATGTTCATGTGTCCACGATAAGACAGACTGTCTACAAATGGAGAAAGTTTAGCACTGTTGCTACTCTCCCTAGGCATAGTCGTCCTGTAAAAATGACTGCAAGAGCACAGCGCAGAATGCTGCATGAGGTAAAGAAGAATCCCAGAGTGTCAGCTGAAGACCTACAGAAATCTCTAGCACATGCTAACATTTTTGTTGACACATCTACAATAAGGAAAACATTAAACAAGAATGGAGTACATGGGAGGACACCACGGAGGAAGCCATTGCTGTCCAAAAAGAATATTGCAGCACGTTTGAAGTTTGCAAAAGAGCACCTGGATGTTCCACAGCACTACTGGCAAAATATACTGTGGACAGATGAAACCAAGATTGAGTGGTTTGGGAAGAACACACAACACTATGTGTGGAGAAAAAAAGGTACAGCACGCCAACATCAAAACCTCATCCCCACTGTAAAACATGGCGGAGGGAGCATCATGGTTTGGGGCTGCTTTGCTGCCTCAGGGACGGATTGTTGTCATTGATGGGAAAATTAATTCCAGTTTATCAAGACATTTTGCAGGAAAACGTACGACCATCTGTCCGCCAACTGAAGCTCCGCAGAGGATGATGGGTGATGCAACAGGACAATGACCCAAAGAATACAAGTAATTCAATAAAACAATGGCTGCAACAGCACAGAATACGCCTTCTGGAGTGGCCCAGTCAGAGTCCTGACCTCAACCCGATTAAAATGCTGTGGCATGACCTTGAGAGCGATTCTCACAAGACATCCCAAGAATATTGCTACACTGAAACAGTTTTGTGAAGAGGAGTGGTCCAAAATAACTCCAGATCGTTGTGCAGGTCTGATCTGCAACTACAGGAAACATTTGGTTGAGGTTATTGCTGCCAAAGGAGGGTCAACCAGTTATTAAGTCCAAAGGTTCACATACTTTTTCCTCCCTGCACTGTGAATGTTTACATGTTATGTGCAATTAAACCATGGCAACATCTAATGTTTGTGTAGTATTATGTTCAGCAGACTGTGTTCTTCTATTGTTGTGACTTAGATGATGTTCAGAGCACATTTTATGCCCAATTCATGCAAAACTCCACGTAATCCCAAAGGGTTCACATACTTTTTCTTGCAACTGTAGCATGTCTCTTTTGCAATAAAGAGCTGCCTCTGCTCACAGCATTTGACAAGTTAGGTTTAGTTTTGCTTTAAATATATGTGTGATGAGAGGATAAAACATAACCTGAAAGTCCACTCACCTCCGCGGCTCTCCTGTGGTCATCATCATTACCCAGCATTAGGACGTCGATACCAAGGCAGCGCAAGTAGCGCCCCAGTCCTTGCAGCATGTTGTCACAGATCACACTGAACTCTTTTGGGGACAAAGACTTATTACTAGGACCGCTTTTTGTCTCATCTGTTAGTGTTTTCAGCTTCTAGGATGATACATAGATTAGAGATTTCAGTATTCTGTTATATCACCATTTAATTTCTTATGAGATACAGCATTTTCTGATCTGCAGATTACTCTTTGGTTGCTAGCTTCCTTCTGAAAATCCTACAGTAGTTTCCTGGATGTACTGTGACAGTTTAGCTTCAATAGTTTACACGTCAGAGACCTAGTACCAGTATGTAGATTGCGCCTCTGCCATTTTGTTTGCTTGCGTGGGGTCAAGTGGGGAAAGCTGTGTATAAGCTCCAAATCTGACTGGCTGGAGTTTATGGGGGGCCTGAGGGATCTGCCCCCACATGACTAGGGCCTGGTGACTAGCAGGCATTTTGAGCAGCATTATTGGAGGAATGGAAAAGAGTCACATTGTTCCTCATACCAGGAAGAACAATACATCTTACTTTGCTCTAGCCAAGGGATGGGGGGATTTTGGGGGAGTGGCACTTGTGAAGAACAGCAGCAGGTAATTAGATATGCAATATACAGCAGGTAAAATAAGTATTGAACATGTCACCTTTTTCTCAGTAAACATATATCTAAACGTGCTATTGACATGAAATTTTCACCACATCGGCAAGAACCTATGCAATCCATACATATACAGGGAAAAGGCAATGAACACGCTAAATTAAATGTATTTAAAATTTGTACAAAATCCTTTGTTGGTAATGACAGCTTCAAGAAGCCTCCTGTATGGAGAAACTAGTCACATGCATTGCTCCGGTGTGATTTTGGCCCATTATTCCACACAGTCTTCAAATCTTGATGGCTCGTGGGACTCTTCTATGAACTCTGATCTTTAGTTATTTGCATAGATTTTCTATTGGATTCAAGTCAGGTGATTGGCTGGGTCATTCTAGCGGCTTTATTTCTTTCTTTGAAACCAATTCAGAGTTTTCTTGGCTTTGTGTTTGGGATCATTGTCTTGATGAAATGTCTACCCTCGTTTCATCTTCATCACCCTGGTAGATAGCAACAGATTTTTATCAAGAATGACTTGGTACATTTTTCCATTCAGCCTTCCCTTCAACGAAGTGAAGTTTGCCAGTACCGTATCCTACAACAGCCCCACACCATGAGTTCAATTTTGATCTCATCTGACCAGACTGTATTCTCCCAGTATTTCACAGGCTTGTCTAAATGTTGTGCAGCAACGAGCTTCAACATGCTTTTTCTTCAGCAATGGAGTCTTGTGTGGTGAGTGTGCATACATGCCATGGTAGTTGAGTGCATTACTTATTGTTTTCTTTGAAACAATTATACCTGCAAATTCCAAGCCTTTCTGAAGCATTCCACAAGTGGTCCTTGGCTCTTGGACTACTCTTCTGATAATTCTTTTCATTCATCTGTCAGAAATCTTTCGAGGAGCACCTGGTCATGGCTGGTTTATGGTGAAATGATGTTCTTTCCACTTCCAGATTATGGCCCCAACAGTGCTCACTGGAACATTCAAAACCTTCTGTAACCAATTCCATCAGTATGTTTTGCAACAGTAAGGTAGCAAAGGTCTTGAGCGAGCTCTTTGCTTTTACCCATCATGAGATGTTTCTTGTGTGACACCATGGTAAAGGGAAACCTTTTTATAGGCCATCAGTTGAGATTGAACCAGCTGATATTATTTGCACTGACAAGGAGCAGGATTTCTTTCTAATTGGCTGTCTTGGATATCCATGCCTTTTTGCACCTCCCTTTCTTCATGTGTTCAATACTTTTTCCCTGTGTCATTCCATTTTATTACACATAACTTAATGTATGAACTTGTTTTGATTTCTTTATATGTATGGATTGCATGGGTTGTTACCGACATATCGCCTAACCTGATCTGTCAATGTATAACCAGCAAAAAATTCTAGTATTCCTTCTCTTCTCTGCTTGTAAGAATAAAGACATTCTCATGAATAGTGGACCATGATATAAAATGGCTGACAGTATGCCCTTGGCCAGCACTGTGACCTCCTAATCTGGTTCAGTTCCATACCTGCTTTGGTGTCGCTGGCTTCTTCTCTGGCGATCTGTCCATCTTTGGCTGAGGCTGTTGTTTGCATTTGGGCAGTTTATGAAAATCTGGTTTTAACCCAAATTTCTCAGGGCTGTTAAGCAGGGCCTCATACACCTCCAACAAACAATATGCATCGGCAGCTAAATGTAAAGATACAAAGGAAACCACAGGCACTACTTAGTAAATGATTGCTGTTTACTGTAAAGGTTTAATATTACTACTATACAATGTGAATGGTTCAAAGTCTGCACCTGACTTTCATATCATGCTTTTGGCACTATCATGCTTGATGCCACTCACAGTATCAGTATCTTATATCTAAGCGTCAGCCCACCCAGCAGAGGTATTTTAGTTATAGTTAGGGCATGGTCAGCCAAGTAAGCCCGGCTTCTTATTTATCTTGGATATAACAACAGTGAGATCTCCTTGCCATAATTCCTGACTCTGTTCCTGTTCACCTGGAGGTTTTGGATGTTCTCACCCAACTGTGTGTTTCAGCTCCTCCTGTTAAATCTTTTATAATATTAAAAAATCCACCCAGCATGGAGAGGGAGAAACCCTCATAACAGGCACATCAAGTGTGCAGGAGTGGGAAGTCAGGGCAGAGATCTCACCAATAAAGTCCCCCAGAGATATAAGAAACTGTCAGGTGGCCTGTCAAAATGTAAAATTCTTCTGCATATATCAGATTAAAAGTAACCATTGTGGGTGGACTGACCCTTTAACCACCTCAAGACCACATATTTACACCCCCCTTTCTGCCCAGGCTATGTTTTCAGCACTGGCACACTTTGAATGACAACTACTCAGTCATGCAAAACTGTACCCAAATGAATTATTTATACCAAATATGATATTATATATTTATATACATATATATATATATATATATATATATATATATATATATATTAGACATGTGGGGTTGATTTACTAAAATTGGACAGTGCAAAATCTGGTGCAGCTTTGCATAGAAACCAATTAGCTTCAAACTTCAGCTTGTTCAATGAAGCTTTGACAATAAAACCTGGAAGCTGATTGGTTTCTATGCAGAAATGTACCAGATTGTGCACCGTTCAGTTTTAGTAAATCAACCCCATAGAGTTTTCTTTTGGTGGTATTTATTCACCACTGGGTTATTTTTTTTTGCTAAATAAATGAAAATAAATGAAAAAGAAAAACCCCCACAGAAATTATTGAAAAAAACCCAATTTTTTTCTTAGTTTCTGTTATAAAGTTTTGCAATTAAATAATCATTCTTCATAAATTTAGGCCACAATGTATTATGCTACAATTCTTTGGTAAATAGCCCAAATCACTGTATATTATTTTCTCTGTGTGAAAGTTAGTCAATAAACTTGATATATACATTTGAAAATTGATCAGTCCTGATGTACTGAAATATGTACTGTTCTGGCCCAAAAATGCCAGAACAGTACCCCCCAAATGACCCCTTTTTGGAAAATAGACACCCCAAGGTATTTAGCAAGAGGCATGGTGAGTGTTTTTGAAGTTGTAAGTTTTTGTCCCAATGTTTTGGAAAATGAAGATATTAAATAAAATTAGTTTTTTTCCACAAAGTTGTCATTTTAACAAGTTATTTTTCACACACACATAGGCATACTGAAATTCACACCCCAAAAACACAATCACATGTGTGGGACTTTTTCAAAACCCAGATGCGTAGAGGGGGCCAAAATCCAAGGAACACACCTTTGGGCTTTTAATGAGCTCAAATTACGCATTTAATTTCCCGACTACCTATCACATTTCTGGAGGCCCTGGAGCATCTGGACAGTGGAAACCCCCACAAAATGACCACATTTTGGAAAGTAAACGCTCAAAAGGTATTTCTGAAAAGCATAGGAAGTCTTTTGAAAATGTCACTTTTTTGCCACGTTTTTGGAAATTGCAGGAAAAAAAATTAAAATGTATATTATTTACACAAAGTTGTCAATTAATAAGATATTTCTAACAGCATAGGCATACTTCGTATTACAACCCAAAACACATTCTTCTACTCCTCCTGAGTATGGTGATACCACATGTGTAAGACTTTTTCAGTGTCTAGACCAGCAATGGGCAAACTACGGCCCGCGGGCCGTATACGGCCCGGCGGACCTTTTAATCCGGCCCGCGGAGCTAGGCTCCCGCAAGGCCAGTGGTCGGCAAGCCGCGGCTCTTTACAAACTTAGATGCGTGCCGGGCGCCCGCTCCCCTCCCTCCTCTCGGGCGGGCGGCCTCCTCTCCTCCTCTCCCCTCCTCTCGGATGGCCGCCCCCCCTCTCGGATGGCCGCCCCCTCCCTCCTCTCGGGCGTCAGGACTCTGCAGCTGTCACGATGTAGGCGGGGCAGCCTGGATGTAGGCGGGGCAGCGTGACGAACTCTTCTCTCACAGTCCTCCCTGAAGACCAGAACGGCGCGGGAATACAGAGGAACGCGCGGAGCAAAGGTAAGTGAATTGACACAGGGGGGACTTACTATATGGGGGACTTACTATATGGGGGATGAATTACTATATGGAGGACTTACTATATGGGGAATGAATTACTATAAGGACTTACTATATGGGGGACTTACTATATGGGGAATGAATTACTATATGGGGGACTTACTATATGGGGGACTTACTATATGGGGGACTTACTATATGGGGAATGAATTACTATATGGGGGACTTACTATATGGGGGACTTACTATATGGGGGACTTACTATATGGGGGGACTTACTATATGGGGAATGAATTACTATATGGAGGACTTACTATATGGGAATGAATTACTATATGGAGGACTTACTATATGGGGAATGAATTACTATATGGGGGACTTACTATATGGGGAATGAATTACTATATGGGGGACTTACTATATGGGGGATGAATTACTATATGGGGGATGAATTACTATAGGGGGGACTTACTATATGGGGAATGAATTACTACTTACTATATGGGGAATGAATTACTATATGGGGGACTTACTATATGGGGAATGAAGGATATGGGGGACTTACTATATGGGGGACTTACTATATGGGGAATGAATTACTATATGGGGGACAACATATGGGGGACTTACTATATGGGGGATGAATTACTATATGGGGGATGAATTAATATGGGGATGAATTACTATGTGGGGGATGAATTACTATATGGGGGATGAATTGCTATATGGGGGATGAATTGCTATATGGGGGGACGAATTACTATATGGGGGGGACGAATTACTATATGGGGGACGAATTACTATATGGGGGATGAATTACTATGGGGGATGAATTACTATATGGGGGGATTAATTACTATGCTTACTATGGGGGAATATTACTATACTTACTATGGATGACAGCATACACATCATTCATCTACTCTTGGTCCGGCCCCCGGGTCCAATATATGAACCCATTGCGGCCCTCAAGTCAAAAAGTTTGCCCACCCCTGGTCTAGACTGATTATGTACTGGACATGGTATCTTGTGTATCACATAAATCAAAGTGTCAAATTCAAACTGTATTACTCGCTTCTGTAGGAGCGATCAGGGAATACAGCTTAGTACAGCATCACCTTTAGCAGTCCCAGTTGCTATAAGCTAAGTAATCCTAGCCTACTGGTACAAGGCTGCCCCCAGGAGTGCCATGTTCACTGGCCACAAAGTGCAGGAGGCTGAAGTTATTAAGAACAAAAGAGTTCCTGTGGTTCCAGGAGTGCAGTTGTCCACAGGGGTGGCTGGGACTGGTGTCTCAAAGGAACATAGTAAGTGGGATGTGCAGATGGGTCAGTTCAGGCGCAGACAGACACAGGTCAGTAAACTGGCAAACGATCGGTCCAGGCAGCAGGCAGAAACGTGGGTCAATAAACAGGCCGGGGTTAGTACAGGCAGCAGGCAGAGGAAACACTGCACTAGTGTGATGGTGATTAGGAACACTTTTGCTGGATGCACTGGTCAGGTGACAGTGGGACATGTGTAGCAGTGATCAGGAACACTGTTGCTGGCTACACTGGGGACTAGTGTGGCACCATACAGGAACACTACTGTAGACATACACTGGTCTGGTGACACTGGGGCTGGTGTGATGACAATCAGAGACACCATTGTTGGCTTAGATTGGTGTGGTGGCACTGCGATTGGTGTGGTGGTCATAAGGAACACTGTTGCTGGCATACACTACTTTGGGACAGATGTGGCGATGATCAGGGAGACTGGCTGCTGTGGCAGCGATTAGGAACACTGTGAGTAGGCATCAGTGATTAGGGACACTGACTGGCAGTTGGTCTGGTGACACTGTACTGCTGTGGTGATGATCAGAGACAATGGCTGGCAGCACTGACATATATTGATAACAGAGCAGCCAGCCATTGTTTATGGTCACAGCCCAGGCAGTACAATGTTACCAATGTGACACTTCACTTTCTCTGGTGACAGTATGTAAAAAAAAAAATTATATATTTATTTACAATTTGTTTTGCATATACTGTCACCAGAACAGTGCTCTGGGGAGTGATTAGGTTTTGTTTTACACCATGATTGCTTATTACAGTGATGAGCACTGTAGAAGCAATCTGTCTTTAATGGTGTTTGTCATCCATTTATAATGTCATTGTTGACTATTGTGATTGGCCACAGCTATCACATGGCACAGGGCTGCTGTGACTGGCCGTGTGCCATTTGATCACTGTGACCAGTCACAGAGATCACAGTAGTAAGCAATGGCATCATGAATGACAGCCATTGTTTACTAATTTTCTTGTGATTGCTATGATTGGTCACAGTGATCACATGGTACCAGGGCCAATCAGAGCAGCTTGATCCCCCGGTCAGTAATTCACTGCATCCGGTGGACACAACAGTCACAAATCGCGCTGCTGCTCAGCCCCGAAGCCATGCACACGAGTGCCAGAAGTGGTGCTTACTCCAAGAATGAAGCTTGTCCTGCCTAGTCACATATTTGCAGTGTCCAGATGGTAAGTGATTAAAGTATAACTCTGACCATTTAATGCAGTCAGTTTAATAGGCTTTAGCAAGTGCACTTTAAAGTAAGGGAAGGTTATAACCTCTGTCAGTTTTTTCTCGCCATCTGTGCCCCAATAGGGAAATTTTCCAGACAGAAATAGAAACTGATAGGGGTTCTAATACTTCTTCGCTCTATCCAAAACTGGCTTTTGCCTTTAGTGAAATTTTAGTTTCATCAACCACGAAAGCCAATTCCAAGCTAAAGTGGACCTGTTGACATTCAAAAGCAACAATAACTTTGAGAAATTAAAAAAGGCATTCAGTAAAGCCTTATTTTATAGGCTTGTTGATTTTTTTTAAATCCTAGGAAAAAGACAGCCTAAGATATGTCATCCTAGGAGACGCAGGTGAGATTTTGAATCACAGGTACATTTGAAGCCCAACTCACATGGTGAAACCAATCTTCGCAACTGCAGCTCTTGCCCACTCACTGGACTATGAAAGTGTATCATCACACTCCCATTCTAGCTATTAGTGCCTCCTTCATGGTAAAATACCAGCACTGTGCAATGCAATAAAGCTTGACAATATTGGTGATTTTGCCAAGCAGGCAAATGTAGGAGCACAAAATACAGAGAGATTTCAGGCAGGTGTAAAAGCAGTATTTAAAAATGTATAAGGGCGATTTTATGTGTAATAAAGCATACATTATCTGGGCACAATGTTTTGTTCTCATTGGTCTTGAGTTCCATCTTAAATACAGCAATGTAAAATAAGTGATTGCAAATAGGTACTGTAATTACAAAAAGAAGAAAGCTACACAAATACATAGCCAAACAACCATGAACATTCAAGGAATGCACCTGGCAGTCTGTTAAGCAGGTGTGACTGAACTACATTTATAAATATTGATCCTACAACTAATCTATTCTTATAATACACAAGAAAATGGAAAACTAGAAGAAAAATATAAAAAAAAATAAGCTTAGAAAATCTTGCTAGGGCAGGATAAATTAACTAATGTGAAGCTGTGCTATGCTTGTGCAGGGCAACACAACAGATTCTCTTTAACCCTATGGCCGAATGGTGGCTGGTAAATGTCATCAGCGTTCATGGTGGACGTCATATGGCGTCCTCCCGCACATGCGCAGATTGAGCTCCGCAGCTGCGCGATCTGTCACCGGCCGTGTACCTCGGACACGGCCGATGACAGATCTGAGTATCGGCCCCCGTTGCCGGTACCATGTGACCTGCTGTGACCAATCACAGCAGGTCAAATGACAGTTGTATACAATGGATGGCTTAATTTATGCTAGTGTGGTAGAATGGTCACAGCTAATCACATGCACATGTCATGTGATTAGCTGTGGCCAAATCACAGCTAAGCAAAAAAAAAAAAAAAAACCCTGAATGAATCGATGTCATTCAGGTAAATGCTTGCTTATAGCAAAGTAATTCTTTGCTATAAGCAAATTGTGTAAAAAAAAAAAAAAAAATACTGATCACTTCCCCAAAGTAGTACAAGGTTACTATGGTAACATTGTACTACTTTGGTCATAGTGAAATATGAAAAAAAAATCTTAAAAAAAAATAAAAAAATTAAATAAAAAAAATATATATTTTTTTTTCACACTGTCACCAGTCAGTGTCCCTGATCACCGCCATGCCAGTTATATGATGACGCTGTACTGCACTGGTGACAACATGTAAAAAAAAAATAGTGAAACTAATTTATTTAATTTTTTCATTTTCCGAAAAATTATGACAAAAAAATACAACTTCAAAAAACTCGCCATGCCTCTTATGAAGTACGTCGGACTGTCTACTCTGCAAAAAGGGGTCATTTGGGGGATATCTGTACTATTCTGACATTCCTGGACCTCAAGAAATTAGATTGGCTGTCAGTACTTCAGGATTGATCAATATTCAGATCTATACCATAGTTTGTGAACTCTATAACTTTCCTGCAAACTAAATAATACATCCTAATATGGGTTATTTTCACCAAAGACATGTAGTAGAATACATCTCGGCCTAAATTTATGAAGAACAATTATTTATTTGCAAACTTTTATAACAGAAAAAGAAAAACGTGCGTTTTTGTTCAAAATTTTTGGTCTTTTTTTGTTAATTTAGCAAAAAATAAAAACCCCAGCGGTGATTAAATACCACCAAAAGAAAGCTCTAGTTGTGTGAAGAAAATGATAAAATTTTAGTTTGGGTACAATGTTGTATGACCGCGCAATTGTCATTCAAATTGTGAGAGCGCTGAAACCTGAAAAATGGCCTGGGCAGGAAGGTGTAAAATTGCCCGGTATTGAATTGGTTAATGAGTGCCCCATACTCCTTGTCATCCCATTAGGCTGCTGGAAGCACAGACAGGGAACCCTGTTTAATCTCCAAGGCTCAGTCTGAAGCTTACACAAGGATGAGGACTCTCCCCATCTACATTTGACAGTATTGGTCATGCACCAGTATTGACACATGTAAGAAAGGGGAGTGAATCACATACCCCAAAGTTCTAGGTATTTCCTCTGCTCCCGGTGGCCAAGCGAAGATAAGTTTAAGCTACCAGAGGGGCCAGCACTATAATTTATTTATTTATTTCAGGTACTTATATAGCGCCGTCAATTTTACGCAGCACTTTACATACATATATTGTACATTCACATCAGTCCCTAACCCTCAAGGAGCGTACAATCTAAAGTCCCTAACTCACATACATACACATACTAGGGCCAATTTAGACAGGAGCCAATTAACCTACCAGCATGTCTTTGGAGTGTGGGAGGAAACCAGAGTACCCGGAGGAAACCCACGCAGTCACATGGAGAACATGCAAAACTCCAGGCAGGTGGTGCCGGGGTTGGGATTCGAAGCAGCAACCCTAGTACTGCCATTCGGAAGTGCTAACCATTTAGCCACTGTGCTGCCCATATATTTAACCTGTTACTTTGTCCTGTATGAGAAAAGCACAGATTCATCCTAAAGTGTAAATCCACCTTACTCTACCAAAAAAAACAAAACAAAAACATTTTGTTCTACTTTAAGCATTATTTCAGTTTGAGTGGAAATTTAACTACCCAGTAGATTCTTAAATCACTTCAAGACCCTGGGGTTTAGGATCCATTGCCTTAAAGTAATGCTGATCATAGATAGCTCATCTTTTTATAGTTGAGGTTGATCGAGGAATCCTCCTCACTGAGCCATGGTGTTCTGACAGCAGGGATTCTCGGCTGTCAGAGTACATTCATCAACAGCTTCAACCCAACTTCCAACAAGCCCAATCAACAGAAGTCAATTGTTTGACAGACTGTTAAGCGCGGGCAGCCAAACATGGATCTAAATTTTCCACCCAACTATGGCCAGCTTCAACCTGTCACTGAGCAATTTAAACTGAGCAAATAACAAAAAAATGCAGAGGCTGAAGTGAACCTCAATGAAAACTATAATCTGAGATTCAGAAATATAGGAAACAGAAAGGTACATGCAAAACATGACTTTTCCCTCTTGAGCTTTGTATCACTGACCAGTAGGGAGACTGTGTAAATCTCAGCACTGTATAGAGAAAAATACAAAAATAGTTGCTGGTAAAAAAGCTTTCTTATATATACTATAAGTGTGCATTTATTTATTTGCCTGCAGTTCACCTTTAAATTATTTGGAGAGTATTAAAAGACACCAGGTCAGCATAATAGCCAATTAATTAGCATGTTTTGAGAATTCAGCAATAACTGCTTCTATATTTTTACCGTTATCTTTGTTTCTATAAGTCTCTTCAGTACTTCCACATCAAAAAGAAGAATTTGCATTATCAGAAAATATAAGAGTTGCATAATATCAAAAAGCAGGTATGATGTGTGGAAGATCCAAGTGGATGAGATGCATCAGTAAGAACTGCTCTGTGACAAAGCAAGGTACCTGCATAGGTGATTTGATCTTCCCGGAGTGGCCTCTTGTCCCAGTTTGATAGCTGCTCGGTCTTGTCTAGTGGTTTGCCCAACACATCCTTTACCAGTAAACTAAGCCCCTTCTCTGGCTGGCGAATGACTTCTTCACTCGGGCTGTTCTCCAGGACATCCACTGGCCCGCCAGGAGCCCTCACACGACCACGACAGCTCTGAATCTAAAGTAAAAAGAAGATGCACCTTAAGCGGAATGCAATACACACTTTCAGTGAGCAAATATTTAAGTTATTTTTACCTGCTTTCTAGTCCATATTTTTTGTTACTGTAATAAATATAAAGATTTGTAGATCAGCCACTTGAGGGAGCTCTCACTGACTCAAATGTACCTCTTCACATCTGCTTACCAACTGTTTTGATAGGATATCAGCAATCAGGGAGTGAATTGTGTTCACTGAAGTAGCCGACTTATAGACTTGCATTGTGAAAAGCCCAAGTAAACCAAAACCATTATGTATAACACTAAAAAGCAGGAAGCAGAATCTGCATATTTAGTGGACAAAAATGACTGCCCCTGCATACATGCTGTATAGCATTACACATGTATTGTTTTTTAAAACATTAAAATATATGGATAAGCTTATTTACATCAAGCTGATCTCTTTTGGATATTTATCAAACATTGGCAAGACTTCAATATGCTGCTAATTAGCCATACACACTACCTAAAATGAAAATGTTTGCATGTAAACCTGGCAAATGGAGCCATAGGACCACAATTATTTATTTTTAAACAGAAATGCAGTTTTAGGAAATCTAAATCAGAGTGAAATGCGCACTCCAGCAACAGATGGTGTTTAGTGAAGGCCTTCTACAAGGAGGAAGACATAATGTTTCAGTCCACTGTACAGGCTGATGATTGGCAGAATAAAATTGTAGAAACAAACTGATGGAATCAGAGGCCAGTGATGTCACAGCAGCTTGGTTTAAAGACACTGTAAAGGTTTAGTTAATTTTTAGTTTATTTTGTCATACTCACCTGCTCTATGCAATGGTTTTGCACAGAGCAGGCCCAGTCTTCCTCTTCTGGGGTTCCTCGCCAGTGCTCCTGGCTCCTCCTCTTCAGCAATTGCCACCAAAGAAAGCTGCTTTCTATGGCGACACTTATGCGGGCTCGATCCTGAGCCACCCTGTCTGCGTCTATAGACACAGAAAGCGCAGATTAGCCCCACTCCCTCATCACAAAATTTGATTGACAGCAGCAGGAGCCAATGGCTAATGCTATCAATCTGCCCTGTGAAGAGGAAGAGAGCGGAGAGAGATGCTGCTCTTGTGCACATCGCTGCACAAGATGCATGAAATGCATTAAGGCAGGCATGTCCAAAGTCCGGCCCGCAGGCCATTTACGGCCCGGGGGTCGGTTTAATATGGCCCTCCAACAGCCCTCCCTGCTCTGTGTAATGTGGCCCTCCCTTCTATGGCAGACAGTCTTCTGCTTGAGAGCAGAGAGCAGTGCGCATGACTGACTGTGGCGCGTTCTCCCTGGTCTGTGTAAATGCGGCTGTCGCACGGCCCTCCCTTCTGTGGCAGACAGTCTTCTGCTTGAGAGCAGTGCGCATGCGTGACTGCGCCGCGCTGGGAGCGACAGAGGGCGGTGACGTCAGGGCCGGGCTTCCAGCGTGAAGTGTGTTTCTCTTCCCTTCCCGGCTGCCGAGCAGAGACTTCAGCTCCAGCTACCTTTTTCACCCTTCACATTAGTGCAGGTAAGTTTTTTTTAAATTTATTTTCAATACATTGTGAAAACTCAGCTGTCAGTTGATCTTAATGTTATGAAATGAAAAGTATGTCGTTTGCAATTAACTTGGCATAAAATAATTTATTTGCATTTAATTGTAATGGTTCAAAGAATGTTCGGAAAAATGTTCGGTCCTCCACCATGTTCACTTCATCCAATCTGGCCCTCTTTGAAAAAAGTTTGGACACCCCTGCATTAAGGTAAACAAAAAAAACCTTATATTCTTTAGAACTGCTTTAATGAAGTCTCTTTTTCTTCTGTTCCAATTCAAAGCATACAGTATATTGGGACACTTTCCTAGAAATAGTGTAAGAGCTTCAGCAATCAGAAATGGAAAGAGAAAAATATATTGGCTCCCTGTTATCAGGCTGGTACACTATCCTGCTATCGGCCTAGTATATCATTAAAAGGTCAGAGGTGTGAAGCTCATCAATACACTTTTTACCTGTTTATGCACCTCACAGAGGTCAATCACATTGCACAACTTGACTCCTCGGAAGGCAGTGTGTGTGTTGTCGAGACTTTGGAAATCCCCGTGCATGCCATATCCTGCACAAGACATGATTCAAATTTCCATATTACAACCAGAGAGAGATTAGAACTAAACAATTACAATAGATAACACCTAATAACCTTCTAACCCTATGACATAGCAAGATGCTTTGACATTTTTGGTTAATTCACCGTTATTCTCCTCTGAGATAGCAAAACCAAAAAAAAAATAAGACAGTGCTGAAATGGCTAATAGCAAAGTACAAAAATTTTATAGCAAATGTAAATGTCATATTAAAAGCAACTTATGAGGACAACTTTATGTGAGATGTCAGCTGTTATCTTGATCTCAGCTATCCTTACTGGTGAGTTGCTTGAGCCACAATAAGAAAACAAGACAGGGGTGCAGGATTTACAGACAGGCTGTATGATTGTTCCAAGTCACTGGCGCACTATACAGTGAAGCTTAGGTTAAGCTGACAGCCCAGCAACCTGCAATTCAATCTTTAAGGCAGAAATGTATAGTTTTATCCTCACTGTTTTTGGGCCTGTTTACATCATTGTATTATAAAACATGTATGTGGCATTTTGTGGGTTGTACCAATGTTTTTTGGACATATGGACATGTGAAAAATGCACTAATTAAATGCATATAGCCTTGTTAGTTCATTTCTATGCATTGTGTTTAGGGGCAGACTGACAACTCATGGGGGCCCCGGGCAATAGGGGATCATGGGGCCCCTGTGTCCTTGCCCAAACTCAAAAAAGCCTATGAAAAAGGTACTAGGGGCATCTCATGGGGCCCCCTACTGACCCCGGGCCCTCGGGCAGTGCCTGAGTTTCCAAATGGTCAGTCCGCCCCTGATCGTGATTGACTATATTGTAACTAGAGTGAGATGAAAAGATGTTGCAGGGGACATGGCCATCAACATTGTCACTACTGATTCACAAGTCTGCAGTCACTAGTCAGCACCTGGTCACACCTAGTCCTGCCCATGTACTTTCTGAATTGACAGCAATACTGCTGTTGCTAAAACCCCCTGTGAGCTGCAGTTCCTGGGAGGGAGAGCTGTGCAACACAAGTAGAGGAGGATTTGGCTCAGTCAGGGAAGGTAAAGGATTTTGTTTGTCAACATTTACGTTTAGGCTGACATATAGTAGCCTTTAGATGTACTTCAAGCTGCCTAGTGATGAGAGAGGAAAGTCACTCACGTATGTGAAATGTGACCATCCTCAGGGCAAGCTGTCTGCAAAAAAGGGCATGTTTAAAATGGAGAAAAGTGGCTAGCACCAGTTCATAAGGGCAGAAAAACAGACTGGGACAGGATCTCTAACCCATCTAATCGGCCATTCCCTCTGCTGCCTATTTCTGTCACAACGTTTGTAGTCAGCAGATACTAATAGGATCACCATATAAACCTTCCCTCTTGCAGTTTGAGAGCTTTACATGAATGAAATTAAGTAACTCACATTAGCTGCTTTTAAAAATTAATATATTTACTCTTCTTTTATTGATCGAATTCATACCTACATTAACAGATTTTTTTTTTATATCAGCTTCAAGCTAGGAAGGGGAGTCTAGATGGCATAAAATAAGGATTACAGAAACTCATTCCACTACACTCCATCAATACCCATGATATCACTTTTAAGTGGACTGACCCATTAACTTGCTGGGCAGACAAGATAAGGAGGGCAAGCCATGATATTTCCACAAATCAGTTTAACAGTAAAAGGTTTCCATCTGAGCATGGTGAATCTTGTACTGAATGGCTCATTGTATACTGACAATGTGGACTATAAGTAACAGTCGATGTTTACCCAGTTTTGTGACTGTGGGGCAGGAAAAGAGCTCTTTGATTAATCTGACCAGCAGTGGGCCCTTTTCTTCCTCTTCATCACCATTCTGAAGAAAGTCACCCTGCAGCAAATCCAGTATAAAGACCTCTTCTTTCACTGCAATCTGAATCAGAGATACATTTGGCTTTCCAAGTCCCCCAAAAGAGGGTCTCCACTCCATATCCACACCAACAACTTGTCCATCCTGGAAAACAGGAGAAAGAACAACTTTTATACTTTGTCTAGTACAGTGAGATGTAGAGAGCTGGTAGATATCTACAGCATTAAATAATGACAACCAAACTTGAAATGTTCTTCTGTATTCAAATAATATCAATCATTGCATCATGAAATTTAATAGTTTCTTAATTTTTACAATTTATTTATAAATTTTTTCGATTGAAAAGTACTGTTTGGTCCCTTTCAATTGGATGTTCTGTCTGTCTGATTTCATTCGTCCAATGACAGATGAAAAATGAACAGCAATGCATTCCTATGATCATCCATTTACATCCGCATCCGTTCTGGTCCATTTTAAACAAATATTCTATTTTTGTTCTATTTAAAAAACCGAAGCAAATCTAAATTGGATGCAAATGGACAACGGTCCATCTTTGCATTAGTTGTGAGGAGCTGCCACCACCCAGCACTGCACATGTCCATGCACAAGTGACCCTGCCTCTTTGTTTACATCAGCGTCAGGGCCATATGACAGCTCTGCTTCCCCCGCAGCTAAAGTAAATAAAGTGGCAGGGTCACCAGGTGATCATAAAGGATTTGTGCATATATGGTCAATGATGTCATAAGGGGCTTGGTCACTTGGTGATTTCACTGGAGACCCAATTTCTTTGTTTACTTTAGTGGTAGGGCAGAAACAGCAATGTAATTTGGTCCCGGCAAGCTACAGGAGCAGTCGGGTTTGGGTTTTTTTTTCCCCGAATGGGTTGGCAGCCTTTGTTCTCGGGCCTAGGGCAGTAGGATAGTATCTTGCACCGTTTATCATTCTCCCACAGTGAGCAAATGGTCCCAGAGATGGAGGGCGGCTAGGACATAGAGCCCAGGAGAACCTTCATCATCTGCCTGACTCTGAGGCGAGCAGCAGCGTGCGCAGCATCCACGGTGCCTCCCAGAGCCTAAACTCCATCTCCAACTTCTGCTCTGACTTTAGATGTTTTGTGTTGCCTAGGGCAGTACAAAACGTAAATACAGCACTGCGTAGGGGTACTTATTCACTTGAGAGGGACGGAGCAGAATCTAGTATCGATTGGGAGGGGCACCTCCTATTTTTGGCAGTAGACCTCCCCCCCGAATATATACCATGTCATTTTGATAAATTTTTGGCGTGAGGTCGCCCCCAAGATCCTAAGGAGTCAGTTCCCAGTTATCTCTGTGGACTACAGAACACCTCTCTATTTTATAAAGAAGAGGAGAGGTGGAAGTGTTCTATAGACATGACACATTTCCTGTCCTAGGGTGGCAACACTGTTTCTCCAAAGATAATGTACAATAAATGAGTGTGTTACTTGAAGAAAAATGCCTAAAAAAAAAAACAAAACTAATGCAGCCTCCACATCTACTAGCAAGCTGAAATATATTACATAATTGTTATTGCATTTACATACTTGTATACTTTAATGTGCTGTGGTATTTTAAGGTGTATCCAAAGTGTCAAAACGTTTAGTCCGTTTTAATATGTACAATTAAAGTAACTCTGTCATGAGAAATGTATGGAGCTGTCATTCCAAGGCCTCATAGATCCAGAACAAGTTTGCTGTAAATGAGTATCAGAAACGTGTTAGAATTCCTTATCTATAAATGGTTCAGGTCAGAGACTCAAAAAGCACCGAAGCCAATGCATCAGCATGACAGCCAGAGAGCTAACATTCTCAAAGGAGAGGCCAGCAATGGCTGCCACTATACTTTTCTCACAACAGAGTCACTTTAATACTACTAGCACTGTGTATCCACAGGTGTATTCTTTATTTAGAGTGACACTTACTCTATTCAGCTGCAGTATTGTTACTCTTTCTCGTGCACTCCATAGTTGGGTTACAAGCAGCCATGCCAACTCACTGTGTACTGTGAGATGTGGGAGTTGTTCTGCTCATTGGTAGATATGTTTCAGGCCGTCCACGACAGTCGAGACTGTGGTTAAGGGCTTGCCGGCCCACTTTTATTAAATAAAATGAAAGTAAAGTTCACAAAATAGTTACTCACGCAGAGGATTGTCACTATCAAAAACGGGTGACGAAAATGTCAAGCCACTTGGTTTTTTCCTCAATAAAACAAGTTGACAAACTTCCTGGGCACTGATAACCAAAAATGAGGTCTTGTAGCTTGTGAAGACTATAACCATAGCTACTCAATAAACCACAGGAGACGTGAATAGAACAGTAGCTGATACTGAACACTACTGGTATAGAGCCATATTAATAGTGACTAGTAAAGTGACGTCAGTGAAGCGCAGAAACCGCCAGATGGACGCTGATGGATGGAAAGAGAAGCTAGAGTGCCTGGGGCAGACCACAACAAGACCTGGTTGCTATGATGTTGCATTTCGTACAGATACGTGCTTTGTCAAAGTGATTAAGCAACCAGGCTTCCCTGTCTATCCATCAGAGTCCATCTGCTGGTTTCTGCGCTTCACTGACGTCACTTCCGGCGCACGCCGACGTCATGATTTCCGGGGACATCCGAGGCAGCATCCTGTTCTGTGACTGGTACTTTCTCACAGTTGACAACCTATCTTCCACAGGATTCCTCTCCACCGCCTCCTGCACCCTGGTCCAGATGTACCCATTTCCTCAGCAGTAAGCCAATTTTATTGACCACATTTGGGCTATAACACCCACTTTTTCCTTCATTTACATTGGACATATGACTATGAACAATGGTTTTAATTGCTTTCAGGTGGATAATAAAATCCTTCTTTTTTACTCAGGATAACATTGTCATTATCCTTGATCATTTTTAATACTTTGGTCACTATTAATTTAGCTCTATACCAATAGCACTCAGTATCAGCTACTGCTGGTTTTCTCCTCAGCAGCTCCATTGCTCTTGTCAGGATCCTTCAGAGCCAGCTCTTTGGGCTCTCTTGGCCTTTAGTTACAGTATCCAGTTTTAGGGGCCTGCTCATGGCCTCTCAATAGGGATATCCTGGTAACCCCAGGCTCTCTCACTCCACTGAGACTCACAGAATCTGTCAGTCCACTGGACTCATCTAGTCACCTCAGTTATCCTAGCTCTCCAGACTCACTCAGCTATCCTGACTCTCCCAGTCCTATGGGTCAGGATTCTCTCCAACATGGAGTGCAGTCTGTTGAGTGGATCACCTCTCCTAATGGGAGTACGCCTGTCTCCTAGATGGAGCTTTGGCCAGTTCTCGTTTATAATGATTGTGCACACCTACACACTCACACAACCTGCAGGTCTCTAGTAAGACCTGGACAGAGGACTCCAAGCTTTGTCCCACCCAAGACTCTTTGAAGTCTTCAAACTCCAGACCCTGACCTGGCATTACCAAATACGGCGTACACTGACAAACCAGTCGTTTCCACTCAAACATTACTACTATAACTTTGAGAACCATGTGTACCTTTTGCCTATACTTACACAGTAGCATGTCCCAGCACTGTCATAACTGGCAAATTGTGCTTTAATCATCACAACAAACTGTGGTGCTCAGCTGCTGCTGCTGCAGCATGTGTACATTCAAAGGAAACTATAGAGCCCATAGGATATGCACAGCGCATGGAAAGATAACATTAAAGCCCATCTCCAGAGTGAACAAATCTGCTGCCTTGTAATTTGGCAGTCAACGCACTGAAAGGGCTAAATGCACATTTAGGTCAAGGGGTCCGTGACAAACATGTATACTTCTCCCCTACGTTATAGCAGTAAACTGTTCCTTGGCATCCTCACATCCAGTTACTGGCTATGACCTCTGCATTGTTTTTGAAGGCATTAGGAGGGCATATGTATGACCAAGAATAGGGGAGAAAAGGCTGTGGGGAGCGATCTTGCAACCCATAGGAGCTGCAGGACTGATCCCCACAGCTTCTTCTCCTCTATGTTCCGCCAGTTGTATGCCTTCTACTGTCAAAAAGACCAAGAGACCATAGCCCTGCACTGGATGTGAGAAGGCCAAGGATCGGGAAGTAAAAGTGCTTTTTGCAGTCCCCTAGACCTAAACAAACATTTACCCCTTACAGTGCAGGGTGTCTTCTCTGCAGTTCAGCTTTAACAAAGTAAGGAGGAGACTGTTTTTTTTAACAGAAAATAATGCAATCCAGTGTGCAAGATTAGCACGTGCGAAAGTTTAGCAATAACTTGCTCGATAATTTGTATATTTATGTTTACGGGCATTTTTATGGGAATGAGTGCTGAAACACTAAGTGGTTTGGTCACCACTTGGAGTTCATACATAGTGTAGGATTTTCAATTTGTCTCCATGTGATAGTGTTGGGTGCCTGTGTAGACAATTTGCCAAGCATAAGCACTGTCACATAAGATGAAGGAGAGTAAGTTGCTTTATACCCAGAAGTACAAAGTGATCACATGACCTCAGCTGCATAAAGACGTTATGAGAGGTAGGTGTGGAAATTGCAAGGGTGTGTGTCAGCAGGAGGCAGAGCCAAAGAAACAGCCATGCACTGATCTTCCCAGTGATTAGTTGTGCAAGGGGGTATGTCAGCACAAGTCTGACTATTGGAGGACAGGCAAGGTGTGATCCCAGCACAACCAGAAAACGTGACCACGCTGGGATGGATGTCTTTCTATGCTTAGTGTGGTCAGTTTGAAATAGGAAAGCAAGGGACGTGGCAGGATCACCAGGTATTTCACACAAAGAAAGCAATACAAAGATAACAGGATACTTCTTAACACAAGTACATGATAACACATATACATATCAGGAATACAAACTGTCAGGGTTACAAAGGGAGGGTTTATCAGTAAAAAAAAAAATCATAAATCCAAACAATATAAGTAGTGCTTTTACCATTTACCCTCTTGCTTTTGATCTAAATGTGTATTTTTTTGACAACACCTACAGCTTACTATCAGGCTTGCAGCATGCCTGCTCTGTATGCTGACTGGTGTTAAAGGTTAGTATTTTATAGGTCGGAGACAGGTCAGGTTGGGCTTCCAGTGTAGTTTTGCTTAATAGTAGTCTGAGAGAAGGTAGTGCAGTTGCACACATTTTTCAGGAGGCGAAGAAGTAAACCTAACTTCACTAAATTTCACTAATATTTGTTGTTATCAGTCTTAGACTACGCAACCAAAATTGTAATTGCAAATATATGTGCATTGTATTAACCAGTATAGAATAAAAAGTTAGGGTTGGAGTTGGGCTTTAAACCTCACTCAGTAAACTCTTTACTCTACTCATGCCACGATAGTCTTTTTTCACATGTTGTTCAAAGATATTAACCACTTGCCCTCCAGAAGATTTACCCCCCTTCATGACCAGGCCATTTTTTGCTGTTTGGTACTGCGCTAATTCACATGATAATTGCACGGTCATGCAGTGCTGTACACAAACAAAATTTATGTCCTTTTTTCACACAAATAGAGCTTTCATTTGGTGGTATTTGATCACCTCTGCAGTTTTTACTTTTTGCGCTATAAACAAAAAAAGACCAAAAATTTAAAAAAAAACCCTATATCTTTAAATTTTGGTTATAAAAAATACCCAATAAATTCAAAGTTAGTCATAAATTTAGGCCAAAATGTATTCTGCTACATGTCTTTGGTAAAAAAAAAAAAAATCTCAATACATGTATATTAATTGGTTAGTGTGAAAGTTATAGTGTGTCTACAAACTATGGCATATATATTGGAATTTAAGTAGCTTTTACTTTCTGACTGCCTAATCACATTTCTTGAGGTGCTAAAGTGCCAGGGCAGTACAAACCCCCCCATATGACCCCTTTTTGGAAATAGACACCCCAAGGATGTTGCAGAGAGGCATGTTGAGTCCATGGAACATTTTACTTTTTGCCAGAAATTTTTTGAAAATGACAATTTTTTTTTTTTTACACAAAGTTGTCACTTTAATTATATGTTGCTCATGCATGCCATGGGTATATGTGGGATAACACCCACCATACCACATGTGAGAGACTTTTTTGTAGCTTAGCTACATACAGGCCCCCAAAATCCAATGACCACCTTCAGGCTTTCAAAGGGCATATTTCCTCATATCATTTCCCCACTGCCTATCACAGTTTTGGAGGCTCTAAAATGCCAGGATAGTACAAACACCTCCCCAAATGACCCCTTTTTGGAAAGCAGACACCCCAAGGAATTTGATAAGAGCATTGCGGTGAGTATTTTACAGATATAATGTTTGTCACAAGGTTTTGAAAAAGAAAAAAAGAAAAGAAAAAATACATTTTTGTTTTCTTTGTTTTCCAAATACTTGTGGCAACAAATGAGATCTGCAAAATACTCACCATGCCTCTTAGCAAATATCTTGGAGTGTCTACTTTCCAAAAAGGGGTCATTTGGAGGGGTTGGTTCTACTATCGTGGCAGTTCAGGGCTAATATTTTTGTTCACATGAAAAAAATGGGTTTTTTTTTTTGCTAGAAAATTACTTTGAACCCCAAAACATTATATATTTTTTTTTAAAGCAGAGGCCCTAGAGAATAAAACGGTGGGAGTTGAAATTTTTTACATCACACATTATTTGTGCAATTTTTCAAACGCAAATCTTATCGGAAAAATACACTTTTTATAATTTGAATGCACAAAAACACAATATATTGCCCAATTGTTTGATAACATATATAAGATGATGTTACGCCGATTAAATAGATACCAAACAAGACATGCTTTAAAATTGCATGCCTGTGCAATGACAACAAGGTACATAAATTGGTATTATCGATAGGCGATGCTTTAAAAGCCTTTACAGATCACCAATTTATATTTACACATTAGGTCTAGTGCTAGAATCCCGCCCCGATCTGCCGTTCGCAGTGATACCTCACATGCATGGTGCAACCGCTATTTACATACCGGCAAGGGGTCAACGCTCGCGCACGCAGGTGTGAGTATGCAGGGGGGCAAGTTTAGTTATTTTTATTATTATTATTTTTTACACTGTCCCTTTCTTTTTTTTGTAATAATTTTATTGCTATCAAAGGGAATGTAAATATCCCCTCTGACTGCAATAGGCATGGACAGGTATTCTTTTTTGAGAAATCTGGGGTCTATTAGACTCTAGATATCTCCTCTGCCCTTACATCATCTGATCTCACCATGAGCGGTGTGATCAGATGCTTTCCCAATTTAGAAATGGTGCTGTTTATATCCTGCAAAACTGAAGTGATGAAATGCTTGTAGCTTCCGATTTCTTAGACTATAGAGATGATTTGAGCCATTCTGGTCTCTGATTAGCTCTATGGTCAGCCAGCAGATCTTCCAGCTGCATTCTTGGATTCCACTGTGGGACAGGAGATACCAAGAAAACGGTGGAAGGCAGCGGGGGGGGGGGGGGGGGGGGGGGGGGAGTATCCCTTCCCGCTGCTTGTAAAAACAATTCAGCAGCTAATTGGCCACTAGGATTGCTTTTAAATGAAAGCTGACCGCCAGCTGAAAAAAATGATACCAGGATGATGCCTGTAGCTGCAGGCATCATACCAGTATAACCACTCAAAGTCCAGCGACGTATCAGTACATTGTTGGTCCATGTTTGGCATATATGTAACAGTAGAGAACATGGGCATATGATGAATCAGGTCTGTGGACCAAGATGATCACAATTTATTCTTTTTTGTAATGCCCATGTTGAATGTAAGTCCAAAAAAAGTTTTAAAATTCAGAAACTGTGAAAAGTTTCCATGTAAATTGTCTGGCAAGAGCTGAATTTGGGTGGGCAGCCTTGTATTGTTGTGCGTATAAATTGCCTTAGCCCACAATCAATTGGTACAAATCTTCCATGAAAAACAGAGGAAGGGCTAAATGCTAGTTCTGGCAGCAAACAGGGCTGATCCTGTTAACAATGCGTTTTTTGGGACACTATACTAAGCAGGCACTAGTAGAGTTCTGTACATGATCATTATATTGATCTGTACAAACACTATACTAGTAATGGCAGTGATTAGCGACCTATAGTGTGAGTGAGATAGTGTGTGGGCAATCTAACACTAGCTGACCCTGGCTGGGTGGGGAGCTTACTGACCCTGACGTTATCTGGATGTCGCTAGTGGCAGGAATGCAGTGATCAGTGAAAAATTCTATATACTGACACTGTACTAATGGCACTGGCTGGGTGACGGGCGATCAAAGGGTTAATTAGGGCGATCAAAGGGTTAAATGTGCTAATCTAATGTGTGTGTAAAATGTAGTGCTTTTACTCGGTGCCGTGTACGCTCTTCTCTCCCCGGACCGATCGTGGGGGCAGGTGTGTTTACACCCCAAAATAGGAACCAACGCAAGATTACAACGCCTTGCCAAGCGCTGCTGCTTGCCCACGGAATCGGTTGGCAAGTAGTTAAAAAAAAAAAAAAAACCTTAACATTTTTTTTTTTTTTAAATTGTCAATATGGCATTTTTTTGTTTTATTCTTATATATTTTTTTTAACACTTATCAGAATTTTTATCTACACTTTGCTTTGCAGGAGAAATAAAGATCATTTCTCCTGCAATGCAAAGCTTGCTGTCATGAACCTAGCTCATTCATGAACTGTCAGGTTTTTGACAGCTCAAGATAGTGATCTGTGATTGGCTGGAGCTGGTCACATGGTACAGGGTGCGTTAGTACAGCCAGAGTGAAGTACGGGTACGTCGCTTTGCCTGCAGCTGCCGCCTGGCCGCAGTACATTGCGGGCGGGCAGATGGGAAAGCAGTTAAAGATTTAGGACAAGCAGAGAGGAGGAAAAGGATGCACAATCTGTTTTTTGTCACTATGGCCAGAGCTGGGGAGATTTCCCATTACCTGAAGGACGATGTCTCGGCAGAGCGTCAGCTCCGTGTGACTCTGGAGGAAATGAACTTTGCTCCTGGGAATCGGAAGCTGGTAAAAGTGGTTCTTCCTCACTTGTGAAGAATCATCAGTGTTTTTTTTCCCCCTCCGACAGCCTGTAACATAGAACAGAACCAGCATGGGGTGCATCATTAATAAAAGCTTTGGAAAATGGGAGCCTGGGGAGGAGGGAAGAGGAAGTCAATGAATAACATGAAATATTAGGAATGTGTCAAAAACGTGACAAAATACTGTGCAGAGAAAAAAGGAGTCTACAGGGAATAACAATATATTTGGCTTTCTTCAGTTTTTAAAGGCAAAGTACTTTCATATCAATAAATCATAGAAGTATTAAAACAAAATATGATGAAGTGGCGGTTCACACTGATGCGGTGCGGGATTTGCAGCGATTCCTGTGCGCTTCCAGTACCGCATCACAATCACACTCCATTCATGCAAACCTCTTCGGGTGTCTATGTCAAGTTAACGTCACACAAAAAACGGTTCACAAAACTCAGTGTGAATGGCTAAATCAGATTGCATGGGTGTGAACACCCAAGCGATCCAATTCCAGTGTGGGGAAAAAAAAGGTACCTGCACCTTATGTGTGGGTGTGGTGCAATTTGAGTCATACAAAATGAATGGCTCAAATAGCACTACAAAGAATCGCATGTGATTTGAACAGGAATGCGATGTGATTCCTTTCTGCATTACATGCATTTTCCCGAACCACATCAGTGTGAACGGGACTAAACAATGCTCAGTTTTCACACATTTTAACTATATCAGGAACACAAACCAGGCTGAATATGGTTTATACTGAAACAACACAAAGAATGCAACCTACCCACTTACTAGAGACCAGTGACATCACTATGACTGCAGCTTACCCACTCAGAGACCGGTGACATCAGAGACAATACAGCCTATCTATTCAGTAGAGAGCAATGGAATAACTGAGAATGCAGCCTATCCATTTATTAGAGATCAGTTACATCTCCTAGAATGCAGCCTATCCATTCACGAGAGATCAGTTACTTCTCCAAGCCGAGAATGCAGCCTATCCATTCACTAGAGATCAGTTACATCTCCGAGAATGCAGCCTATCCATTCATTAGAGATCAGTTACCGTATATACTCGAGTATAAGCCGACCTGAATATAAGCCGAGGTACCTAATTTTACTACAAAAAAACTGGGGAAAACTATTGACTCGAGTATAAGCCGAGGGTGGGAATCATTGGTATCAGTGGGAGGAATAGTGCCCCATCATTGGTGTCAGTGGGAGGAATAGTGCCCCATCATTGGTGTCAGTGGGAGGAATAGTGCCCCATCATTGGTATCACTGGGAGGAATAGTGCCCCATCGTTGGTGTCAGTGGGAGGAATAATGCCCCATCATTAGTATCAGTGGGAGGAATAGTGCCCCATCATTGGTGTCAGTGGGAGGAATAATGCCCCATCATTGGTGTCACTAGGAGGAATAGTGCCCCATCGTTGGTGTCAGTGGGAGGAATAGTGCCCCATCATTGGTGTCAGTGGGAGGAATAGTGCCCCATCGTTGGTGTCAGTGGGAGGAATAATGCCCCATAATTAGTATCAGTGACACCAATGATGCGGCGCTATTCCTCCCACTGACACCAATGACACTTGCTGACCCCTGTTGCAGTATGGTGCTGCTGCAGCCAGCATATGTGGTTGCAGCAGCACCTCTGCACTGCACACTTACCTGTCAGCTGTCCTTCTTCACTCCGGCCTCTCCCTCACTCGATTTTCGCGGGTCCGCTCGGCTCCGCCTCCTCGCCCGTGATTGGCCGCCTGTGTACCTTTCCTGAGCTACAGTTCTGGCGGCCAATCACCGGTGAGGAGGCGGAGCCGAGCGGCAGGAGTGAGGGAGTGGCCGGAGTGACGGAAGGAGCAGCGCTTCCTGGATGGATCATCGTGGGACTGGGACCGGAGTCAGGTAAGAGACAGCAGCCCTCTGCCCACCCCTGTACGCTGCCCACCCCTGTACGGATCCTCGCGCCCCCCCCTGCAGACGTTGACTCGAGTATAAGCCGAGGGGGCCGTTTTTCAGCACAAAAAACTCGGCTTATACTCGAGTATATACGGTACATCTCCGAGAATGCAGCCTATCCATTCACTAGAGATCAGTTACATCTCCGAGAATGCAGCCTATCCATTCAGAGACCAGTGACATCACTGAGAATACAGGCCATTTACTTGAGACCAGTGACATCAATGAGAATGCAGTCTATTTACTAGAGAATTCTGATATCACTGAATGCAGCCTATTAATTCATTAGAGGCGGGTGACATCACACAGAATGCAGCCTATCATTTCTCTAGCTGCTGGTGACATCAGAGGGAATGCAGCCTATCCACTCATTACAGACGAGTGATATCCCTGAGAAAGCAAAACATTTTCATCCTGCTCCTTCAAATTTTCTTGCCACTGCTGTCAAAATTTAATTCAATTTGACTCCACTAACAATTAGAAAATCGAACAAACGCTCTTAAAAAGTAACTGTTTGAACAGAATTCTACCAGTGTATGGCAATCTTAAGGCAAACATAAAAAAATGTGCCAAGTGCAGCAACCAATATAAATTCATATAGAACTCACATTACTTCAAGAAATTGAACTGTTATTGATCATTACTGGTTACTAAAGGCCTCAGATTGCCACTGTTTTTGTTTGCACTGTTTCAGGGTATAACATGAACCCAAGTTTTTTTCCCCACCCTCCCAAAATAAAAAAAAAAAACACTCATCACTGGTAGCCATCATCACTTCTATGGTACAGTGCCTTGAAAATGTATTCATACCCCTTAAAATTTTCCACATGTTACAACCAAAAACATAAATGTATTATATTGGGATTTTATGTGATAGACCAACACAAAGTGGCTCACAATTGTGAAGTGGAAGGAAAATGATAAATGGTTTTAAACATTTTTACAAATAAATATCTGAAAAGTGTGGCGTGCATTTGTATTCTGTGTCAGTACTTTGTAGAACCACCTGTCGCTGCAACTACAGCTGCAAGTCTTTTTGGGGATGTCTCTACCAGCTTTGCACATCTAGAGAGTGACATTTTTGCCCATTCTTCTTTGCAAAATAGCTCAAGCTCTGTCAGATCGGATGGAGAGTGTCTGTGAACAGCAATTTTCAAGTTATGCCACAAATTCTCAATTGGATTTAGGTCTGGACTTTGACTAGGCCATTCTAACACATGAATTTGCTTTGAACTAAACCATTCCATTGTAGCTCTGGCTGTATGTTTAGGGTCGTTGTCCTGCTGGAAAGGGATCCTTCATCCCAGTCTCAAGTCTTTTGCAGACTCTAACAGGTTTTCTTCTACAATTGCCCTGTATTTGGCTTCATCCATCTTCCCATCAACTCTGACCAGCTTCCCTGTCCCTGCTGAAGAAAAGCATCCCCACAACCTGATGCTGTCACCACCTGGTCACATCTGACCAGAGCACTTTCTTCCACATGTTTGCTGTATCCCCCACATGGCTTCTCGCAACTGCAAACGGGACTTCTTATGGCTTTCTTTCAACAATGGCTTTCTTCTTGCCACTCTTCAATAAAGGCCAGATTTGTGGAGTGTTAGTTGTCTTGTGGACAGACTCTCCCTCCTGAGCGGTGGATCTCTGTAGCTCCTCCAGAGTTACCATGGGCCTCTTGGCTGCTTCTATTATTAATGCTTTCCTTGCCCGGCCTGTCAGTTTAGGTGGATGTCCATGTCTTTGTAGGTTTGCAGTTGTGTCATACTTTTTCCAATTTTGGATGATGGCTTTAACAGTGCTCCATGAGATGAAAGCTTGGGGATATTTTGTTTTATAACCTAACCTTGCTTTAAACTTCTCCACAACTTTGTCCCTGACCTGTATGTTGTGTTCCTTGGCCTTCATGATGCTGTTTGTTCACTAATGTTCTTTACCAAACCTCTCAGGGCTTCACAGAACAGCTATATTTATACTGAGATTAAATTACACACAAGTAGACAAGTATTTACAAATTAGGTGACTTCTGAAGGCAATTAGTTCCTCTAGATTTCAGTTAAGGGTATAGGAGTCTATCACATAAAATCCCAATAAAATACATTTACGTTTTTGGTTGTAACATGACAAAAATGTGGAAAATTTCAAGGCACTGTACATGAAAGCCCACTAACAGAAATTAGTCATTCACCTTTCTGTTTGTGCTGGGAATTTCTGTCTGTGTTTAGAAGGATCACAACAAAGTGTCTGTCTGAGGAGCTGAACAAATGCATTTGGAGCAATTACTATAACTGACTACAAGTGAACAATTAGAGGTGGCAGATGAGATCAAGATAAAAAGCTGTTATAGATAACACAACACTGCATGATACAGCACTGGATGATAAAGAGAGACACTTAATTAGGGATAGTCATAGACTGGGCATGCTGGTTTATTTGTTCCAGATGGATCAAAAAACAGAATGTGAAGTAAGCAGATAACATCAGAAGAAAACTGCAGAGATTATCCAATTTAGAAGAGGCAAGCCAATTGTTGATGGTCTCATAATTAGATGTCAGTCAGGTGTGAAGGAACACTCTAAACATAAGATGATATGGTAAAAGGTTAGTGCCTGAGTAAAGGAAAAGAAGATTGGTTTGGGGTACAGTTTTAGTTGTCACTATACTAAACTTCCTAAATAAAGCTCTACCTGTAAAAGAGAGGAAACATTTACCTCTCCTGCTGCCCACACCACTTAAAGTGTCACGAAACCCAAAAAAAAACCCTAAAACCCTAAAAAAAAACTATCAATAAATGTATTACATGCTGTTCATGCTCACTCTGGGATTCGTTTTCTGTATTCTGCAAGGTGATTGTTGCCGTATTAGTGCACTTGCGAACAGAAACAATTGAGCACTGACGTGATACTTTTTTTATTTGCACTAACATATAATTTTGAGGACAAGCTTTTGGGGTATGTCCCCTTCTTCAAGGTCTAGGCAGTACTGCCTAGACCTTGAAGAAGGGGACATACCCCGAAAACTCGTCCTCAAAATTATATGTTAGTGCAAATAAAAAAAGTATCACGTCAGTACTCAACTGTTTCTGTATTCTGCAAAAAAAATGGTAG